TTTCTCTTGGGAGCCAGTGTTGCATCACAGGACATACAACGGGGTCATGCATGGAGTGCAGATTATCAGAGAGGTTGTGGGCAGCACCCTCAGATTTGCAGGTGCACAAAGAGCAGAGGACAAGAGAGGTTCATGCAGTTTCCATAAGGGTCTGACCATGAAGTGCTTGAATTGTGCTATCAACAGCTGCATTGAAATGGGAGCTGACAGAGCAGGTTCTCCTTCAGGGCAGAAGAAACCAGTGTCACTTGTTTTGAGCCTGTTTCTGCACATGATATTTACTGATGTTCTGAGCCAGTGGCCTTCATGTTGCCAGTATAAGCCTTAGTCATTGTTCTCTGAGTTTCTGGTTTCTTCATTAGCTTTTCATTTCAGATTTGCAGGCATCACTGTGTCTCCCAGTCAGTGATGTGGAAGGAGAGATGTTTATGTCCATTTTCAGGTACTTCAGGAAAGTGGATGAAACAAAGACCTTGACCAGACAACTTCAGTCAGCTCAGGGGCCCACTGAAGGCAAGGGAAACATCCCAGCTCTCAGGCAGGATCTAACATTATGCTTTGTCAGACTGCAGAAGCTTTCTAATCCTGCCAAATCATTTTTTGAAATGGCAAAAAATGATCTTGTTCTGTTTAGTGAGGGACTGGAAATTTTTTTTTTTTTATTAAAAACTTCAGGTTTCTAAAACCTCAGGTGTGTTAATAATGAGGTAGAGGAGGAGTGCTTGATGGATAATCTTATATCCACAGTCCTTCTCTTTCATTTCCAGCCATAGCACATGAATGTCCCCACTGTCAGGCTTTAAGTGTTTCTACAGTCACAATCCTCTTCAAATCATGATCAGAAATTTTATGCCAGAAAAAAACATCTTTGGACTGAGAGTCCCATCTCATTCTACCTTGATACCTCTGCCCTTCATTTGCCCTTGTTTGCTCTCCTTCTCCTCTCCCAGGTTACTCCAGGTAAGAGATATTTTTAGAGGATCACAGAAGAAATAGGTACAAATGGGAAAAGCTGTGTCACTTGATCAGTTCTGCAGCAGACCTACAGCTGGGGCTGGAGAAAGTCACCAACTCTTCATATAGTTCACATCTTACTCACACTCGATCACTAGTTTAGTCATTAGCATTATTAAGATGAATCACCCGTGATTTGAGATCCTGTCTTTTGTGGCTTTTGGTAGAGTATGTCTCACATTACATGCATGCAAATTACGAGTAAGGTTCCCCTCACCCCACCTGAGATGTCTACAGTTTTCTGAATCTACTGGCAAGAGACAACAGACATTTCACACGATGGTAGAAGCTTCTCCCTCCCTGCAGTCTCCCACTTGGATGGATCTACATCTTTAGGACATGATTTCACTTGGCAGACACTTCTCAGGAGCCATCATGGTGATTTCATGGTGAAAACTGCCTAGTGGAGATGTTTATGGCTAAGGAACTCATTGCAGCACAGGAGGACTCTCCTGTGACCAGACCTGCAACTTTAGGAGTCAAGCCACTGGCTCACCCCATTTTCATCCTGTTCTGGGCATGCTTCCCCACCAGCTGCAGCAGGGATGCAGGCATCTTCTAGAAACATCTGTAAAAACCCACTCATCACTTCTCATATCCTCATCAGAAGAGGTGAGCCCTCTGGTGGGATTGGTGCCCACAAATGATGTTTTTCAGGCTATGGTTTTTGTTAAACTAGCAAATGGAACCAGATGGGGTGGGTAGGGATGGTCCTATATGGGCAGTCTGTGTTGGCATGGAAGGCTGGATTAGCAGGGTCTGTGGGACACTCAGTGGTTCACACAATCACAGAATTATTGAGGCTGGACAAGACCTCTGAGATCATCAAGGGCAGCTGGAGGGACAAATAGAGACCAGGCAGAACTGGACACTTGAATTTTGGCAGTTCAGCCTCTCTCATTGTGCCAGGCAGTGGGAAATGAAGCAAGTACCAGAGGATGAGGAGAGGTGCCACTGCAGGGCAGGCAGTGGGGAGCAGGCAGCAGGTTCCTGATGTGACATCTCAGGCTGCACGTCTAGAAAACTGTGGGGCTGGTGGGGGGGAAAGTCTAGTGGAGACCAGTGGGAATGAAGGGCCAAAAAAAATATGGGCTGTGAGAAAGAACTTTATTTATAGGAAAGAAGGAAGTTTAATTTTGCAGCCTGGCCTAGGGATGGAGGTTCCTTGACTGAGAAAAACCTGTCCCCACCCGGGCTTTGAAGCCTGAGGAGCCCATGAGCTGGTTCATGGCTCCCTCTGGCGGGAGGACCTGCTGGAGGACGGAGGGACAAGAAGTGTGTTGTAGGGCAGGTTTTGCTCCCACAGAAGGCAGGGGTGCCTCTTCGCTCTTTTTTCAACACTAATAATCCACAGATGAAACACGAGAAAATTCTTGATATGTTTGGAGAGCAGGGATGGATTTTGGTTGAAGACACTAAATTTAGGGAATGAAGTCAGCTGCTCACATTCAGGATAGGTGAGTAACTATGAAGTTTTTCTAGCTTCATATAATTGTGTATCACTTATATATATCTTTGTAACTGGTGACAGCTGGAGCTCTGCTGCCTAGTGGACAGGTAACCATCCTCCCTGGAGAGAAATCCAAATGTCTAAAGCAACATTCCACCCCTGGAGACCTTCCCCAGGTGCTTCATGCCTTGCTAATCGATGCTGCCAGGTACAGTCAGAAAGCAGCCAGCACATCATGCCAGTTGTTTTTTGCTTTTGTCTAAAATAAAACTCATTTTCCAAAGCTTGAAAATGCAGGATTCCAGGGAGTCTTTTTCTGAGATTTCTTTTTTCACAAGAACTTTTCCATGTAGAAATGTACCCCAGCCCTCACCCAGGTGAGAGTGCTGCAACCTGCTCCCAAAAAATAACCCACAAATGGAGGTCTAAGGAAGTTCAGCAACCATCTCTCCCTCAAATGAATAACATATATGTCATGTATTTGTACCCAGTATGTACAGATGGGACAAGTAGATCATTGGCTGTGCAAGTCAAGCAAACTCCTTTAAGCACAGCTGGATAACTTTATCCACTGCAGAAAATAGATGCCATTCCTCATCTGGCTGCACTAATTGCTATTTGCATTAATAAAGCATCTTCTCAGGGTTTTTTTTGTCCTCATTTCTCAAGGGTTTTTCTGAAATGGATCACTTAATTACAACAATAAATTTGACATTGTCTTCCCAAGCACCACTGAATGAAAGTTATCTGAGGCCTCCCTGTGAGGCCTAACTGTGGCTAAGTGATGGGTGGAAAATGGTGTGGGACATTGGGCTCAAGGGGTTATGCTCAGGGTCTGAAAGTGTAAATGGTGGTTAATTGCTCCTGGTGCTCCTAAGGGGTGAATGCTGACACTATGATAGAATCATAGAATGTTTTGGGTGGGAAGAGACCTTAAAGACCATCCAGTCCCAACCCCCTGCATGGGCAGGGACACCTCCCATAGACCAGGCTGCTCCCAGCCCCATCCAACCTGCCTTTCAACACTTCCAGGGATGGAGCAGCCACAGCTGCTCTGGGCAACCTGGGCCAGGGTCTCACCACCCTCACAGCAAAGAATTTCTTCCTAATGTTTCATCTCAGTCTCCCCTCTTTCAGTTTGAAGCCATAATCCCCCTTGTCCTGTCACTCCCTGCCCTTGTCAAAAGCCCCTCCCCAGCTTTCCTGTAGCTTCTTCAGGTACTGGAAGGTGCACAAGGCTCTAAGGTGGAACAGCCCCAACTGTCTCAGCCTATCTCCACAGCAGAGCTGCTCCAGCTCTCTGATCATCTTCGTGGCATCCTCTGGATTTTCTCCAACAGCTCCATGTCCTTCTTATTGATACTCCAGGTGAGGCCACACTACTGAACATCTTCACTGACACACTCAGTAATGGGATCGGATGAATCCTGGATGAGTTAATGGGTGACACCTGTGAGGAGGGCAGCAAGTGACACTGGCAGGGATGTTTGTCATTCCAGGTGCCCTGGATAGAATGAAGGAAGCTCAGCAAAGGCAAATGCAATATCCTGTATCTGGGATGGGGTAACCACACAGCTCCACACACTGGGAGTGACTGTCAAGAAAACAGCTGTGCAGAAAAGGGCATTGAGGGTTCTGGAGAACAACAACTTGAAGAAGTTGTGCCCTTGCACCAATACAGGCCAACTGTGTGCTAGGTTGTCCTAGTAACGACACAGGCACCAGCTCAAGAGCAGGGATTATTCCTGAGCATCCAGCGCTTCTGAGACCATCACTGGGGCACTCTGACCATGACTGAGGTCCTTAGAACAAACAAGGCACTGACAACATGGAGCAAGTCTAGCTTTGTCCTTTTTTATTCTTTTCCTGACCTCTTTGAGCTTTTCCCCTGGTCAGTGTTTTCAAAGCTTGCTGGCAGACATACTTTTGTCTCTTCCTCTCTGATAGACCTTGTATTCTCCTGAGCAACCCTACTTTCTAAAAGAAGGCTGCAAAGTCATAAAAGTGAGGGGTCTGACATGTCTGGGTGCTGCACCCCTCCACCCTGGCCTTGTGGCAGGAGGGCAGTATGTCTGCTCCTGGACCACAAGGTTGGATGTCTCAATCAGGCTTGAGGTCAGGCCTGGGACAGTCCTGCAGGCAGGTGGCCAGGCTGTGCTTCCCATGGGGCTCATCCATGTTGCGGCCAGAACTTTGCAAGGCACTGACCAACAGCAGCAAGACCAACATGAGCTTAGGAGTGTTTTGTCTGTCCAGCTTACATGGCACCAGGTCAGGAGGCATCTTCACTCTGCTGTGGGATTTGCTGTGGTGTGTACCCCAGTTCTGAGCCTTTGGGAGTGCTCAGCTCTGCCATAAGGTCGGGAGGAACTCTTTTCATTATGCAGGGCAAGAGATCATGCCAGCACTTTTGCCCTGCAGATGTCCTGGAATGATGGAAAGTCCTTGTGGAGTGAGCAGAAGATGACAGACCATGACCAAGAGAATGAACAACCTTCAAGGGGAGCAGGAGGAGCTGCCAGTAGGCTAAAAGTGCCAAGCCAGGCAGGAGTTGAACCTGAAATCTCCTGATCCATAGTCAGGCACATTGTCCATTGTGCTACTGGCCCTGTCCTCCTGCTTTTTTCTTGCTGGCCAAGAGTGGTCTGGTTTTGGTGAATTCACAGTCACTGTTTCCATCCATTCATTTGGGCATGGATCTCAGGGGTATTTCTTCTGTAGTTTTCATGTGAGCTCTGAGGCAGACCAGAGTTCCTCAGATCCTCCTTCTTAATATTCTTGAAAAAATCTCTCTTGCTGATCATCAGAAACCTCTTCCTCTCGTAATAAACTTTCATGTAATTGCCCTTGACCCCCTCCAGTTGTCCCCTTGACTGACTGCACCACCTTATGTTTCCCTTCCAGGCAAATATTGCCCAAAGGTAAGTCTAGGTCCACCAGGAGTGACTAAGCATGCAGTTATGAAGCTTCTTGCTCTTTCCTGAGGAAGGCTTCACTTTCTTCAGCTTCTTGATGAGGCCACCCACGATCCATAACCTCTCAAGAGGACCCATACCACTGACTGAAGCCCCGTGCATCATGTTTCACCCGTAGCTTGTTCCTGAGGTGATGACTCTAGTTGGCCAATGCCTTGCAGAGCCCTGCATCTCAGCTCCCCGGAAAATGAGGGGTAATACAGAGGTCAGTGGTGCCCCAGGGCTGACCCTGGCTTGAATTGAACACACAATCTTCTGATCTGAAGTTAGATGTGCTGCCCTTGTGCCATGAGGTCAGGGTGGAGGGATACAACTCCCTGCCGTGGCCCCCAGCCTTGGCATTGTTATGTCCTCTCCATGAAAACCACCCCAGGGGTCTCTAGGCAGCCCCAAGAGAAGCACCATGAGAAGTAGAGAAGTCAGGGCTGCCCTGTAAGGAGAGGCTGGCCAAGTCGTGCCCATGAAGGGACGGGGCAGAAGTGCAGAGGGAGCAGCAGGGGTCCAGGACATGAGGGGGCAGCCAAACTCAAAGCAGACTCCACACTCCTGTTGGAGGGGAGGTGACCCCAGTCAGGCTGTGCAAAAGGCATGATGGTCCCTCCTACCACAGGACTTGAGATGGATCCTGTGCCAGGTGAACGGGGTGTCTCTCCTCAGGAAGGTGATGGGCCACCATCCCTCCTGCCTCTCTGGAGACACCCAGACCAGAAGCTTATTCCTCCTGGGAGAGTCCCTGAGGGGCCACGTTTTGGCCTTCCTCCTCTGAAGTCATGACACAGAGCCATCCCTGCAGCCTTAGGGAGTCAAGTGGTAAAGATGCTCCCGCTCCTTTGTTAGATGAATCAAAAAACAGCCCATGGACATAGAGTCCGAGCTGATGCACAGCTGGAATTGCATCCAGCTCTGACCTTGTGGCGCAATGGTAGCGCATCTGACTCCAGATCAGAAGGCTGTGTGTTCAAATCACACCGGGGTCAGGGTGTCCCACCTCCAGAATGGGGGGGTTTGATGGGCAATGGTGGCTTTTTTTTCCCCTCCCACTCTTTACGCCATAGCCCTGGTGAAGGGCAGCAGGTGAGCCATGGCAAAACGGTCCTTCCCTGATGGACCAGTAGATTTAGACTAGATATTGGGAAGAAAACATTTAAAATGAGGGAGGTGAAAGAGGAGGAAGTTGACACAGGTTGCCCAGAGGGTCAGCAGAAGCCCCACCCCTGCAAACATTCCAGGTCAGGTTGGACAGGGCTGTGAGCAACCTGATCTAGTTGAACATGCCCTTGCTCACTGCAGGGGCATTACACTGGATGATCTGTAAAGGCCCCTTTCAACCCAAACCATTCTCTGGTTCTGATGGGAAGTATCTGAATAGCTTCAGCCTTCCCCTGCCCTATGTTCATCTTGACTGTCCTCACATGGCAAGTGCAGGACAGCCAGGGGATCAGACCCAGCCAGCATGGGTTCAGAGAAGGCAGGATTAAGCTGATTTTCTATGACCAGTTGACCTACCTAGTGGATGAGGAAGAGGCTGTGAATGTTCTCTTCCTGGACTTTGGGAAAGCCTTTGGCACTGTATCCTAGAGAAGCTGGCAGATCATGGCTTAGACAGGTGCTCTCTTTGTTGAGTTAAAAACTGGCTGGATGGCTGAACCCAGAGAGGTGTGATGAATGGAGTTAAATCCAGCTGGATTCCAGTCCCAAGTGGTGTTCCCCGTGACTTAGTTTTGGGGCCAGCCTTTGATATCTTCATCAATGCTCTGGATGAGGGGATCAAGTGCTCCCTCAGTTAGTTTGTACATGACACCAAGTTGGGCAGGAGTGTTGATCTGCTTGAGGGTGGGAAGGCTCTGCAGATTGGTTAGATGGGCCAAGGCCAATTGTATGAGGTTCAACAAGGCTGAGTACCAGGTCCTGCACTTGGCTCACAACAACCCCATGCAGAGCTACAGGCTTGGGGCAGAGTGGCTGAAAACCTGCCACAAATATCTTGGAGGACGGGGATGGAGGGGACAATTTTCAACACAGGAAATTTGTCAGTCCCTGTTCTCAGAGCTCCCCACAGCTGGGCATCACTGCTCTAAAGAGCTCTGGGAATGCCCTAAGCCTGGCAATGCCTGGGAACCATAAACAGAAGGAAGAAGAATTTGGGGAGCCAAGCAGGGCAAGTTCTTAATACCCTGGAGGTATTTAAAAGATCTGTAGACGTGGTGCTAAAGGACTTGGTTTAGTGGTGGAGTTGGCAGTGCTGGGCTAATGATTGGACTTGATGATCTTAAAGGTCTTTTCCAGCCAAAACAATAGTAGGATTCTACTGTTCGAGGTGTTTCCTAAACCTGAGCCAAAAAAACCCCACTAAGTGAAGGACTTCCCGTGACTCCCGTTCTCCCTTATCTGATGAACACAGACTGAAGGACTCCCACCCCACTTCCAAAAACTCCTGGTGTGCCACGGGTGGGTTGAGCGAGCAGAGCTGGGTGGGTGTCCTCCAGATGTCACTGCCTCACTCTTGGTTAATGTTCCCTGCTATTCCAAAACCGAACAAGCAAGGGGAGCACCTGGAGGCAGGGCAGAGGTCTCCTGGATGAGGACCAAACACACATCAGTGTGACATGAGGAGAACATGGCAGCTGGAATCTCTACGTGCCAAAGCCTTGTAGATGCCGTACAGGGGCAAGATTTAATCTGGTATCTGGTGGGAAGTGTCACTTCTGGTTAGAAGCATTATTTCCACTGCAGCCAATGAGAACAGTTTTTACATGTCATAAAAAATGCTGAGATTTAATATCATTCTCACTCTTCAAACTTTTAAGACTGTTTAAAGTTGTGGGTTTTTTTCCTTCTTCTTTTTAAGAGCAGGAGTGACTTGATGCACAATGAGTAAGAGGTTTCATCAAAAGGACAGTTCAGCAGCCAGTAGAGCTTGATGTCTCCCATGCAAGGGAAGTTGCCATAGTTTGCTTAGTAGCCAAATAATTTCATAATCTTGAGATTCTTTGATTTTTTTCTAGTTAAAACACTCTATCTTGCATAAATAAGGATCTTTTTGAGGCCATATCAGACAGGAAAGCGTGAAGGAGAAAGGCTTATAAATATTCCATAAAGTTGTAAATTCTTGTAACAAATGCTGCTTCAGATAAGTCTTTATTCTCCAATGAAAATCCAGCTCTCAGAAAATTGGGATTAGGCCTGTTGAGGTCCATTATACCAAACTGTTCACTCTAAATATTGACATGCAATGAGCTTGACCAGAGGAGGACATGATGCCTTTGAGAACAAGCCTAACTTTCCTGAGTTGAGAGCCCTGCTCTCAGCACTAGATTGGGTCCAGCTCAGGATTTTCTGTGTCTGGTGAAAATAATTGCAGATCCTTAAATATATTGTCAGGCAGTGACAATTTTTTTCTGGCTGTGGAAGGACCTGTGCCATTCCTGTGTCACTGGGCCATGTTCACTTCTTGCACCATCCCATGGCTGCCTTGGAAGTTGAAGTTACATTTTAATCTCCCTCCATGCTGTTGACTCAAGGCTCAGTGTCTAAGCTGAGGACAAGGTCACACCTTCCTTTTAGTGACCAAGGTAAGGAATTTTTTTTCCTGATGGGCCTTTTTTAAGGATAAAGATGGTTCTGTTTGTGGAGGGAGGGTGACTCCTAAGCACTGGTGCCAATAGCAAGGTCTCTAGTCTCTTTTTGCCTCAGTATTTGAATCACCCATGAAGCAGCTGCTGGGGAAGTGATGGAGTCTATTAAGACCTAAATCCTAAGCTTTGGGTCTCTTATTTTCTATGGTCAGGTCTGTCCCTGGAAGCTTTCATCCCTATCCTTATTCACCTTTGAGGATCACCCCTGCACCCCTTGGTGCAGAGCAGGATGGAGGTACCAGGGCTGAGACTCCTGGTCACCCCTGGGATGCCCCAGGCTTCAAGTGTGTGGATGAATTCTTGTAAATATCTTCAGCAGTGACGTGCAAAAAGAAGCAAAGAAGGATATCTCTGGGTTTGCAATTTTTATTTCAGTTATTTAAAAGCTGTGCCAGTTGCAAGGGACATCATAAAATGGAGCAAGTGGGAAAACAGATGATAGAAGTATTTCTGGCAGGGGAAAATAACCCAGAATGTCTCACTGGACTGGCATTTACAACCCAGGAATGACACGTGGACATTTGCAGACAGCAAACTTGTCAACTTCACAGGCACAGCAAGGTCAAAAAGATGAAGACATAGATGGTCCAACAGCTCATTGCTTTGTTCCTATGTTACAACATGAGGCCAAGGTTGCCCCAGCAGAGAGCTGTTGGGGATTATTTCTTTCCCAATATATTAGTGATGGCATGTGGCTGATACCAGGAGGCAGAAGGGCTTTCAGGTAGTGCACTGGTATGTTAAAAATCAGGCCATAAACCAGATGTGGTATGAGATGGATTATTAGCCAAGACATCCCCAAGAAAGATACATTTCTTTGGGATGGTATCAGGACAAAACAACAATAAAAAGGACTCAGAGCAATTTCTTATATCTACCTCTCTTGCAATCCCCAAACCTGAGAACACACACACACACACTGTCCTGCATCTTTCTCTTAGATCAGTATTTTTGAGCCAAAACTGTGTAACATTTTTATCCCACTGTTTCAACCAAATC